TGATATCTTTTATAAGAAGATAGCTAACAGGTACAGAGTAATGAATGGGTGAGAAGATGGATGGGGACTTCTGTTCCCACCTGCTAATAATATAAAAGTTGGATTAGAAGGTGCAAATTCACTCCTGATGAAAGGAACTATTTGTTCACATCCACTGTCTACAAAACTGGTTGCCACAAGACAGAGCATTGGGGCAAGAACTTAATGAACTTGAAAAAGAAAGGAGGGGGTAAAATGACACCAGTTGGAATATCCAAAGCAATTGCAATGATCAAGAGAACCTTGGAGTTTTGGAAAGGCTCTAAGTGCATTGATAAGGGTATTACAAGGGCATGAGCTAACTTGTCCAGCGTTTTGTTGGGTGTTTTTTTTTGCCCCCAAGGCCTTTTCCATAGACACCTAAGGCTGAGTTTGTGGAGCATGTTCCTGGCCACTGTCACTCAGAGACTGCAAGAGAAGGGTGGCTGCTGCTGCTGCTGCAGTGAAATGTGGCAGTGCCTGCTTGCAAACCATGTTTCTTGTGTCACTTTTCCAAGGATTGCTAAATTCACATGTAAATTAGGATGCTTTTGCTTTTCTGCTAAGTTACTGCCTTTGATAGTCCTTCACAACTTGTCTTATATCTAGAATGACGCTTTGCCTTTTGAGTATGTGCTGGGGGAGAGGCAGGTGGTTAAAGTTAGATTCCTTCTGACAGGAGGGATTTAGAAATTGCTGCATTGGCTCAGCCCTGGGATCTGCCAGGGCTCTGGATAGCAACAGCCAAAATCGGGTATTTCAAAGGACAGCGTGAGGCCACGGAACAGATTACTGAAACAGAAAGCTGCCCTTTTATACCACTGGTGTTTGTCCATAGAATTGGAGAAGCAAAGGTTGAGAATTTGTTTGATCCAAGAGCACAAATAGCTGGAAAATCCTGTTGCCTGGCTGATGCTAGTGAACGCTGATGTTTTGTATCCTCTAGGAAATAACTTATGTGCCTGTTTTCTCTTAGGAAAAACAGAGATGTGCTTACCTTAAATGACAAGTTTATACAGTGGCTGTAAGTTAGCGTAAAAATAAGTAATATTTGTGTGCAGACTCAGCCTAATTCTGTAGAGGACACCCACAGTGGGGTTCTCATTTGGGGAACAACCCTAGGCTTGGCTGGGCTGGGAGGAGGCAGCAGCAGTGATCACTGAGGGGTTTTGGCATCTGGAAAATGGGTGTCTTTTTCTGACACTGCTGTAAGCTATCTCTGGCTGTCAGGGGGGTGGTTCTGTGGGGATTTTTCCTTTCCTTTTTTATTTTTTTTTCCCTGCTGTTGCATATTAGTATTTGTAAGAATTATATATGGTTTCTCTCTTCTGAAGTCCTGGATTTATTGTTAAAACTGCTACAAAAAAAAAAGGATTCAGTGAAATCTCTATGGAAAAAAAAAGTATATTCCTTCCCTCCCTTAATATTTTAATGTTTTGAGAAGCTCCAAAAGCAAGGGGCTAAGCCCCTCTGTCAAATATCCATGGAGCTGCAGCTGGGGCATGTGGGAGTGGCGGTGGTGTCACAGTCCCCTGTCCTGTCCCACCCCCCTGGCCCCCGACAGACGAGGACAGCTGCTGATTAAAGAGAAGCAGGAAAAGAAGAGGTTGCTGAACTTTCAAAGTGGAGGTAGAAAAGGGAGTTAAATTTAGATTACCTTCTGCAGTGTCATCTCCTGCACTGCTGTGGAACTTGCTGTACTCCTTCCTTGGGAGAGGACAAACAAGACATGCCATCCTGGGCACCAGATGATAAATTTGTTTATAAGGCTTAATTGCCCCTTGGCATGAAAATGTGAAATGAGCTCAAGTAGACTGAGAGGCCTTCTGTCGCAGCTAGTCGCGTTTTCCTCGAGGAGAGGTGAATTAAAATGTCTTCCCATCACCTGTCTGATGCTGGAGAGGCCCAATCCTGATCCTACCGAAATCTGGGGAGTTGTCTCACTAAGGAAACAGCAATGACTGGTATCTGGAGGGGCTGGGAGTTGAACAGTGCTGGAGGAATTTCTCAGAAAAAAATGGATCTGTGTGGTAGGGCAGAAGGAAGCATGGGAGTGCTTTGGGTCTGTGAAGACTTTACCCAGGTCCCCGGGATCTGGAGGTCCTCAGGGAAACCATGTTGTTTGCTCGTAGGGCAAGCAGCAGCCAACTTAGTAAAAAAAAAAAAAAAAATGAAATGTCTATTTTTGCTTAGCAAGATTTAATCATCACGGAGGAGCTGTCGGCTCTTGCCAACGTGTTTACCAGATTGCCCTCGGCTTGCTGCAGCCAGCTCCTGCTTCTCTGCTGCTCCTGTCTGCAGCCAGCTGCCTGCTCTTACCCAGCAGCTGCCTATAGTTCAGGGCTGCCTTTTTCTTTCTTTTTTTTTCTTTTTTTTTTTTTCTTTTTTTTTTTTTTCAGAACTGCCCGACCTGATGTCATTTCCCTCTTGCAAACACCCCGGCTGGGCTGCGTCTGAGATATGTCACTGGGAGTGGGAGGAGGAGGAGGGGGAGCCAGCGAGTGCGTGCAGTGTCCCAGGACCCTGTTTACTTAGCATTCCCAGCCGAGGAAGCCCCGGGTTAAATAGGATCGAAGGAGCGAACTGCCCACACCAGATGAGGAAATGGTCACTGCGGGGCTTTAAATTCCTGCCTTCCCATGCGCCGGTGCAGAGGATGAGCCTGCAGAATGCCTTTCCTCCTGGGTCTCAGACAGGTAACTGGCTTCGGTGCAGTGGGAGCTGCTCGCTCAGGTGGAGGATGTGACCGATTGCTTTTATTTTTATTCCCCACTCCCCCCTCCCCCCGCCTAAGGAAATGATTTCTGACTTTCCCAAAACGGAACCGTACAGGCAGACCTTCCCCACCCATGGCGTTTGATCGGGCAGTGCAGCAGCGTGAGAGCCACTTTTTGTTAGCAAGGAAGGAGCAGAACTGCAAGCGAGGAAAGAAACTCTTGTTGTTGTTCTAGGCTTATGGCAGGGTGGCTCTTTGTGTCGGGATCCTGTGCGGCTTTTGCTTGGTTGGGTTTTAGGGTACTTTCCACAGTCCTTAATGTGGAATTCTGTTTACACTGCTTAAAAACATGCCAAACTTTGAAACAGTTTTTTGTGTGGGCAATATTTTGAGTGTTAAATTGTTGTTTTAAATAAAAATAACAGTAGGGACATTTATATATATATATATATATCATGCTTAACAAAGGTCACCAAATGGAAAAAGGCAATGTGCTGTGACCCCCAGCTTGGTAACTTTTTAATTGTTCTGGGAGGGTTTGAGCTTGAACAAGAGACTGGGGATCATTTAATAGCTGGTAATGTCGAGTGGAAGGAGAAACGGTAGCAACTGCCCAGCTGCTCCCCGCTGGAGGAGGTGCCAACTATGTGTTCCTAGGCTCGGGGAGGGCAAACCCTTTTTTTGGTCTGGGAGGCACGTCTGGAGGGGAATCTTAACTGTAAACTCTCCCCAGCACTGCTGGTATCTGTAACACACGTTAAATAGATACTGCATGATATCAGAGTGCTGCTTGCAGTTTCGAATTTAGAATTAAAAGTTCAAGATTGGACTGTAGCGTGTTTTAAACTACCTGCTATCAGTCATTTAGAAATGAAGGCAAAAGGAGTTCAGCACACTGCTGAGTAAACAGTGCTGCCTCTTTTTCCTTATCAGTTCAGTTTTTCATGAAATACAGCTCCCCCACTCCCTCCCACCGTGCTGAACTGAAAACAGTTTTACATAAGAAACTACCTCTAGCACAATGACCTTCTGTAATAGAATGCAATAACTGTAATAATAGTTCACTTGTTAGCTCTCGGGGCAAAGAGACTTTCCCTAAAAACCTTGGAACTGAACTAAGAGGGAAATTCGGGCACGAAGGCTCAATGGCTTTAGGTAACTATCAACTGGAAGCAAGACATAGTTGGCTTAAAACTCAGGCAATCTCAACATTTACGGCTGTGTTTTATTCTAAAGTTCCTATTGCTAAGTGAGCCTTTTTGTCTTAGAGACGTGTTTGGGACAATGGAGGTACTGCATAAGGTGTAAAACCAGGAGCTAGGTCTAACTCGGCTTCATGAGCTCCAACTGCGAAGATCTGATTATCTCAGTGGGCTGGACAGGACTTTTTTCTCTGCTTGTAACTTTTCGGCATCGATACAGCAGCGTTTACCGGAAGCAGAAAAAAGGTGTTGCCTTAAGAACACGAGAGCAAAGCTCTCGACTATTTTTATCTGCTGATGAAGAGTATAGTGGGAAAGAGCTGCTTGCAGAGCTGCTTGAACTTCCCTTAGTTTTAATCATTTTGAGTTTTACTAAGTTTTAGACAAAAATATTTATGATTGTGCTCTGCTTGCAGGTAGTATTCAGGAACTTCTTTTTCCACTTCTGAAAGAGTGGAAAAAAAGGGCTGTTAGCAAACAGTGCTATTTAATTAAAAATGTGGGAGGAATTCAGGAACATCACGTCTATTGTCTTTTGGGTTTGCACTGGGTCTGTAAACGTTTGATGGTCTGGGATGTCCCTGGCTGTTGCGGTTCCCGCTCAGCACAAGGGGTGCTGACCCTGGGCTGTGACTCCTGGGCACAGGGAAGGGGTCCCGGGTGGGGTGCCTTCCCATGAGCTGTGGGACACAGGCAGAACAGTTGCTCCCCAGGATGGGCACCACTTCCTCACTGCTGTGCTGCACGGACCAACTGGTTGCCCTGGATCTGCCTTCACTTCTGCTTTGGGACCCAGTGGCATTGCAGCTTGGCAGATGGACTGCCAAACGTGTGGTAAAAATAGTAGGTTTTGGGATTTTTCTGTTGTTGTTGTTGCAGAGGGGATGATGTTTAAATGCCCAAAATGCTGAGTCAGCGCTATTTGACAGTCAGTGCAGTGTGGGTGTTTAAAGCACCTGTCCCAGAGAATCTCAGCATTTAGTTCCAAGCATGCATTTCCTCCTAGGGTTGCAGGTAGAAGCTTCAACACGTTCACCTAATTGACTGCATTATTGTAAAAGGGGGGGAAAAAAAAAGGTTAACATGTTGGATTCCTAACCTTTTCGGTTTCCATTTTAACTGCTCGTCGGTCCTGTGGACTGTTTGGTGGTTTAAAGCAACAAACTCAAGACAGCCTTCTCAAAACTGTAATTTCCTAGAAGCACCTATCTCTAATGAGAAAGGGCTCGTACTGCAGTTGGGAAGCTTCTAGCAAGGCGTAAAGGAAGTAAACACTTTCATGTGGCACTTAAAATGAGAATGTGCAGTTCTTGGAGTCTGAAAGTGAAACTTGCAATAAACAAAGACGAAACCAGCTCTTGGTGTGTGTCCACAGGCTGTGAAAGGACAGTGTTCCTTTAAAGATTGTTGGGAGTATTTCTTCAAGATAAATGGATGCAACAAACCAATTTGTTCCTCAGATAAAGGTTAATAAAACCTCAGAGGTTCTGCGTTTGCTGGGGGTGAAGATGGGTCTGCTGTGACTGATTAATCATGGTGATTTAAATATAATTCTCCTGATGCTGGCAATAGCAAAGCAATAACTGTTGTGGATTAGAATTCCCATTTTGGAGATCTTTATTGTGCCTGGGACAGCTCAGAGGCATCCTTCCTCCCCCACTTATTATACTTTACGGGGTTTTTTTCTCTTTTTCCCCCACATTCAGCAAAATAAAATTTGTGGTGGCTGTCTTATGAAGAAATGTCCAGACTTGATTTATTTCCTGGCCTCAGTTGTCTGTCGTAAGGCAGGGTTACAGGAATTTATCCCCTGTTGTGCTGGCAGGGACTGGCACCCAAAGTTCCAGTAACTCCCAGCAGTCAAAACCGGTTTCATCTTTACCAATCTTACGTGCTTTTGTTAAATTGAACTCACCAAAGGCACGACACTTGCCTAGACAGTGGATTTTTGCTTTTGTGTTCCAAGGACTAAGAAGTAGAGTGTTTATGAAGACAGGAGATGACTGGAGGCTTCCATGCATGCTCAGCTGGGTGGGCATCAGTCCTGAGCTCCCCTAGTGATCCAGGGGATCCCTGCTGCTCTTCCTGTCCTTGATGTGATCCAACCTACTGTACTTCTCTGAAAAGATCTAGTGATTTTTTTCTTTTTAATTTTAAGATTAATTTTGATTAGGAACAGGGGGGCAGCTGGCAAACCAAGAGTTGTAGTAAAACCTATGACAAGATTTGGTATTCCAACCCAATATTTTGAGTAGTAATTTTAACTTACTACTATTTGAGTGTCTTACCTGACAGAAACGCTCATCTTCTTCGGTAGCTTTGTGTTTGCATTTTCATAAGCTCTTGCTGAGGGGCTTGGCTAACCAACAGTAGTCATGGTCTAATATGTGAGTTTGAGTAAAAGCTAAGTGGTAACTCATAAATAGTGGGTATCAAATACATTTTTTACTGTTGGTTGTTTCTAACATATTTAAGATACTGACAGTCACTTCCATTCTGTTACTCTGAGTGCATAAAGTATATATATGGTCCAAATACTGGTTGCAAGTTACTCAGAATATGTCTTTTTAATACATTTTTCTGAAGATTGTGTGACTTGCTTAAATCCATCCTGCTTTGTTGTTAGGTGTGTGGGTACTGAAAGCAAGGGGCTGCTCTCTGCGTGTAATGAGATTAGCAAAATAACTAGGTCAGGATTTTTTTTTTTTTTCCATTGTTAAATAGATGCTTATTACCAAAGTCCCCTGTAAGAGCCGTGAAACCAGAAGGTCTGGAGCAGTCACAGGTTGAGCCTGAGTCCTGTTAAAACCAGTAGCATCTTGCCCTCCAGCAAATGCCAGTTTGGCAATCTCCTGCTGCTGGGCTTTTCACTGTGTCCCACTGCTTGTAAGCCTATTACTCAGTTCCTTACTCACCCCTCACTCCATTGTTAATCCCCATCTCTTCCACTTCAAATAGGAATTTGCTGTGTAGTGCCTTGACAAAAAGCTGTACCAAAGGTACATACAGCATTAGAGAGTCCTAAAAAACTGGCTATCCTAGAAGATGGGAATGGTGTATAACCTCTGTCAGTAAATGCAAGTTGCATTTCAAAGTGTTATCCAGCGTGTCTGGGTATTACCCAGGTTAGGATGAATAGATACTCTGGCAGGGTTAATGACACGTAGAGGCCATATAAATGCAAGGTGCTCATATTTAGGGTGATGGAGGCCAGATTTCTGTGGAAGGAGGCAGCAGAGCAAAATAGTTATTAGATCTCCGTGATACCAGCCACTACTGGCTTTAGTTACCTGGTTAATGCCAGCTGAGGAGTCATCTTTTGTAGGTGGTTCACTGCCAGCTATGCACTTCTGAGTGTGGGCTGTGGTGTTTGTTGCTGCAGTTGCACATATTAATTTTCAGCTTGGAAAATAGCCACACTGGTTTGGAATTTGCTCATCCTCATCTTTCTCCTTTTTGACATAGCAACAGTGTTCCCAGGTTAGCTGCTGACTTTTGAGGGTAGAAAAGTGTGGAGTACTTTGATGCTTTTATTGTTATGGTACTCCAGGTACTCAACTGACAATCATTTTTCGTTTTGGCACAATAGATCCTAACAGATTTACAGATATTAAACCAGACCATTTAGTACTGAAAACCTTTACAAAAGTAGGATAATGAGGTTTGATTCCATCCTTTCTTGCAGCAAGGGGCAACTCAAGCAACCTACAGACCTCTGTGAATTCCTCCCGTCTTTATTGTGCCCCAGATTTTGACCTTTAGTTTGTCACATAGACCTCCAGGAGAAGTCCAATACTAAACTGAAAGGTGGAGAAAATAATTGGCTTTTTTCCCTGGCACTGACATTAATATTTGCTGTAGCTTCAGACATGACAATGTATGGCAGTGTCTTGAGTTCTCTTATACCTACCACTGCTGGGTGTTTAAAGCATCATTTGTAAAATCACTTGACAGCAGAATTGTGCTACTGACAGAATTGCCAGCATGGTTGTGGGTTTATCACAAATGCCAAATACGAACAAGAAAATAAGTTTTAGAAAAATCTTATCTTTATTCAATATTGCCTTATAAAGTTTATGACAAGTGAAACTAATCCAAAACGCCACATCTAAAATATGAAGAGTTTCTCCAAATACACTGAGGTGATGTCTTCTCAACTCAACCAGCTTAATGAGAAAAACCCTACACCAGATTGAGCAATGGCCTCTGTTGGACTGATTGGGGAGAGAGCACGGGCTCCATAAGGGCAGAGCCTTCTCCTGAAAGCTCCCAGCCTTGGAGTGCACATCGGGGATCCAGTGATTCTGGTTTCTCACATCTGCGTCAGCTCTCAGGCTGATGCCAGGGAGGCAGCGATGCACACACAGCCTAGGGTGCAAAGCCAACCCCTTGAAATGAGCTGGAAGTCTCCTGGGTTTTGCAGCTGGGAGATAAGGATGGCGTGTTCAGGCTTCTTAGTTGCGAAACAGGAATATTCTGCTCTAGTGGAGTTGAACGCTCTTTGAGAGCAGACCCATGTTGATGCTGTTTAGTAGTCCTGTCTGGAGGTGCCTACGGGTGGCTGAGCAAAGGCTGGTGGGGAGGGATGTGCTTGCCTGGACAACAGGAGAACAAGGCTGTCATTCATGAGGGAAGCTTGTGCCGGAATGCGATACCCACTGGCTTTGGGGAAGAAAGTGCTTTTGGACATAAACCCTCCCCCTTGTTTTCATAGGATACCCTAAAAAACACTCTGTAGTAGTTCAAAAAAAACCTCCATGCTGCTGAATTTGAATTGATAAAATAGAATGATTAATAATTTATCAATTAATTAATAAATAGAATTGATAAAATAGAATGATTAAAGATGATCATTATAAGTGCTACTTGCAATGGAAACTATAAACAAGGGCAGGGAAATAAAACATGAGTGCTCCAACTTTGCTTCTGTGAGATTCCCCCCACCCATATGCACTTTTCTTACCTATAAAACTATTCTTTCAGTCCCGTGCCCTGTCTATGCTTGTTGGTGTGAAAAAGGAAATAGTGTAGTCTGATAGCACAGGCACTTGTGATGTTGTTTCCAGGAGAAATTTAGGCTCTGGGTAACTATAGTGCTGATATGTCTCAAGTAATTACAGTTTGGCAGTGTATGACACAAAGAATGAATGGGAGAATTAAGTAGAAATAGTAGGGCATTGATGGTATGAAAAGTGCAGGCTGGGATTTAATTAAAAATTGAAGCTTGACAGACGTTCCTGGTGGCAGGAGGAAGTTCCTGAACAAAAAATTTTCATGATCTTTGTAATGGCCTCTACTGATGGCAGTGTATAACCTCTTCCTTTGCTTGCAGAACAGTGTAAAAAGACTGTACAGTGCCTCAGCTTTTCACAGGAATGAGTCTTGACTTAAGTGGGGAGAAGGAAGGAGACTGAAGCACTCAATCCAAACAAGACACCTGTAACATGTCCCAGAACAATGCTGCTCTTGTGCTGGAATCTTTGCCTAGTAGACTTTTTCCAAAAGTTTGTTGCCTTTACATTTTATCTCTTTCACTGTTCTGGGTTTGAGTAACCTAGCACTGGAGGTAGCCATGCTCTGAGCAGAGGTTGGGCCATGTGACCTGCTGGGATCCTTTCCAAACTAAATTATGCCTTGATTCTGTGAAACTGTTTGGAAACAAGGGTGACAGTTCTGTGTGTGCCACGTGGCACTGAGTCCGAGGGCTCCATGTTCCCAGAAACCCATTGGTGGCTGGGCTGGCAGAGAGCTGCAGAAAGGCTCCAAGAGGAGCTGCTTGGACTTTGAGGAGCATGACTGGTGGCCAAACAGCAAGGACTTTAAAACCCTGGACTTTCTGAACGGTGGGAGCTGGAAGCCAACTGTGAAACTATTCAAAGGTACGAGTGCTTATGCATTAGCAAGGAAGATGATTTCTCTTGGTCAGTGTGTAAAGAAGCTCCAGACAGTAATATTTGAACTCTAGATAGAAAGGCAGAATGTTGCTTGGGACTTGATCTCCCTTAGCAGGCAGGAACAACCTGCAGAATAGTAACCTGCTGAGATCTTCTGCTTAGCCTATGCAAACATCCCCTCATAGACCTGTTTGCCAGCTGGGCAACCCTGCATGCAAATAAACATATGGCACTGTGGAAAGGTCATCTCAAATATGATCAGGTTGGCAAGGGGGAGTCAGGAACTTCAAATAAAAGGATAATGTGATGCCAGTCTGTAAAAACAGGACTGCTGCAAGTTCTTAAGTGGGAAAAATAGTGATGTTGAAGCTGTTAGAGGTTGCTGCTGCCAAAAAACACTGATGTGTTCCTTATTGCTAGTCTTTAAAGCGGACAACACGGAATGGAACAAATTTTGGAGGAGTAAACCCAGGTGGTCAAGGACGGATCAGTGCTGTGATGCAGATTTGTTCCTGAAATGGGACTATGGGACTATATTCTTCCACTAGCTCCACATAGTTCATTTGCTGGTTCAACAGGTCACATTGATCTTCCTGTGTCACAATTGCAGACCTCAGCTGGTCACTCTCTGGCTTGTGCGTTATCATCAGCAGGATTGCAATTTTGCAATGAGATCTTAATTTCTCAATTCTGTTGATATGAGAGCCAAAATTTGTGCTCTTTCTCAGCTACATTAACTCTACAAGGCCAACAAAATGAAGATAAGTGTAAATAAACAAGTAAGAATAGGTAAGAGGGATGTGTCCTGTTTCTAGTTATTTTACTGACTAAAATGACGTAATTTTCTTTTAATGAGTAGCGTGCCTGAAGCAGAAAATGCTGTTGCTAGCTCAGCAGTGTCTCCTGAAAGTTGCTACCAACTACTGCAGTTAGAGATGGAAACACCTCCTTATCCTAAAGGGAAGTGTTGTGTCTACTATTGACGTGCGGCATCTCAAGAAAAGTGTATGAAATGTTTGCTTTTAGCTACCTGTAGTAAAGCAGTTGGACTGGTCTGTCCAGCAAAATGTTGTTCTCTTCCTGGAAAAAGGAGGCAAGTACCCTTCCAGCTTGTTGTCTCTGCAGATCAGTTTTAAAGAGATGGCCCGTTGGTGCTTTGTAGAGCCTTTTGTGGGAATGGTGATACCTGTGGAAGGAGGGGAAGCAGTGCATTGTGTGCTGAGTTCTGTTTGCTGAACTGTGCCCTCACACAATCAAAGAACACTTCAAAACTTAGTGTAACGTCATAGGAGAAATACACAGCATGGGATCTTTTCTGTTGAACCTTAGGTGGTAGGAGATTGTTCTGCTTTTAGAAGTTATATTGCTGCTGTAAGATGGGTGCTCAGGTAGGGGACCCATAGGACCCAGGGCCCAGTGTTGAGGAGGTGCAGCTCTGAGGTGCTGCATGGTGGGGGGGAGTACTAGAGCTCCTCTGGATCCCCAAGTAGATTGAGATTCCTTAAGAACTTGGTGTAGGATTCTTCTGTATTGAAACTGCAGTCTTATCTCACTTGTTCAATGAGGCGGTCCATCATTTAAAGTGGACTTTGTATTTTGCACATGTGGTGACTTCACAGAGGCTCGTGAGAAGGGTAGTTGTGGTGTGCTCACATGGGACAGAGGGATGGTTGAAGTGCATTTTGTCACCTGCTGAGATCCACTAATGTACATTCCTGTAGCCTGCTGCTTGGGTTTGCTGCTCCTTTCAGCCCACTGGGTTTTGTTGGGCTTTCTGTTGGGGACTTTTTTTGTTTGTTTTTTGCAAGTTGGTGCTTATAAAATGAATTCTTTCAAGATACCTTTCAGTATAAACATCCCCCTCATTTTCTTTTTCTTATAATAAATTCTAAGTGAAAGAAAGTGAAAATTCTAGATTTTGTTACAGGTTTGTTACCAACATCAATGTTATTTATTAAGATCTTTTTGTTTCTTAAGAAACTGTAGTGTCTTCTAACTTCCAGGTTGCCCCAAAGCCTATTAGAGGCTGTACAAACATCTACCTGTAAAAAGCTTCTGTTTTCCTATGTTTTGTACTTTTTCCCACTCATGTTTTCAAACTATCAGGAAAACATGGACTTTTGTGAAGCAGTACACCATGTGGGGGACTGAGACCTCATGCCCTAGTCCTTCTCCATCTTAAGTGTCCTGTGGATCTGCTGGGTGATATAGTGCAGCTGATTTGGCTCTGCTCCTGGTCTACTTTGCTATTCCAGGAAGAAGTTTTACAGGAATGCTGATCTTATATAAAGCACATGGCTAATTATGAAAGAATTGTTTTAGATTGGAATCTCACAGGAACATACTATAGTTATCATTTAAATCTAAATTAATCTAAGCAGTCTTTTCTCAAGTTATAATGTTCTGTTTATGAATGCATTTCCCCCACTTGGCATTCAGCCCCAATAATGCAGCAATATTGTGTAAAATGTGGAACAAATAACACCCCTTCTTTAAGAGAATGCCTGGCTCCCAAAATGTTGTAACTTCTAAGGGAGAAGGAGAGGGATGGTGAGAAAGCAATGCTGACTACATGCTACAACAATGTAACTTGTGAGTTTGGAGAGACAAGGTTTGCTTCTGAACAGTCCTTTGTGTTTTTTGGTGATCCTTAGCTGTATTTTAACCTCTTTATGTATTTTAGAGTTTCCCAAGACCATAACTTATGACTTTTCAAATGCTTGAAGATCATTGAGTAAAAGATGACATTTCCAGGAAATACTGACAAAGCATCTTAAAAGTGTGTCTGTTTAATTTTAGGACAAGGAAACCTGCATGGGTGTCAACAATCAAAGTTACATATGTGAAACGGGCCACTGTTGTGGACAATCCCAGTGTTGCAACTACTACTATGAACTCTGGTGTAAGTCCTTCTGTTTTGTATGGCTTCCCTTCCTAATCTGCATGGCTCTCATACCACACTACAGGTCTGGCTGGTGGGGTTTTGTATTCAGCCCTTGTTCTGTGTTGCCATTGCATTTCACTGCAGTGCAAACTGGAGTTGTCCTGATGTGGCAGTGGAAATAGGTTTGTTACAACAGGCATTGCCTGCTTTTGAGAAGTAATGGGTCATCTTGCCACGTTCATGACTGGAGGTATGAGAGACTCAACGTTATGAGTGAGGAAAGGTGAACTTGAGGGAAAGATGCCGATACACACAGCGCTAGTTTGACACGCTCTAACAGAGAATTGATTCAGTATCTTTTGTCTTATTGTCTTAGCTCTTTGCAAGAGTGACAGTTTATATCTGGTCTATCTTTTTAAAGCTGCCATTTCAAGGAAAGGGGTCAGGATGTTTATTCTCTTCAGGATGCATTATGTTTGAAGCAGAGGTCCTTGGGTGGAGAGGGTCTTGGGCAAATCTTGTGGGCTGACGGTGGCTGAATACTGTGGGCTGTGGGAAACAGAGACTGCCTGTTGCAACCCCACTTACCTCCTCTTTCCCAAAATCTGGGATTTAAAACTACCCATGTTTCTAGTGAGAGGTTGAGAGACTAGACCTGCTAAGATGGCAGCAGGTGGGTTGAAGAAAGTCAGTGAAATTCTGATAAAGGTATATGGAAAATGGGAAACTGAAAGCATAGGAAAGTAAGAAATGCTGATTTTTAAAAGCAGACTTTTAGAGTTGTACTGGTCTGATAGTGTCTTCCTTTTCTGAGGAGTAGCATAACAGGTTGAACACTGATGTTGACATAGAATCATAGAATCTTTTAGGTTGGAAAGGACCTTCAAGATCATGCTATTGTACTAACAGGAGACTAGGCTGAGAATGCATCTGTGCTCCCAGACTTTGGAAATGTAGAACTCCAGACATTGTACCCTCACGTTAGAGACTGGAGATACTTTCTTACCACACCCAGTGGTATCTTGTAGCTTTTATGCAACTGTGCTGTCTACATAATCCATCTGCTGTGCCTGGTTTTACTTTCTCTAAGTAGCGTGTGTGTGGAAATGTATTATACATACAAAGGCTGTCACTTAACATGGATAGAATCATTTTGGTTGGAAAAGATCTTTAAGATCGTTGAGTCCAACTATTAACCTAACACTACCAAATCCACCATTAAACCATGTCTCTCACCACCTCATCTACACATCTTTTAAATACCTCCAGGGATGGTGACTCCACCACCTCCCTCGGCAGCCTGTTCCAGTGCTTGACAACCCTTTTGGTGAAGAAGTTTTTCCTAAAATGGAATCTAAACCTTCCCTGGAACAACTTGAGGCCATTTCTTCTTGTCCTATTGCTTGTTCTTTGGGGGAAGAGACCAACCCCCACCTGGTTCCAACCTCCTTTCAAGAAGTTGTAGAAAGCAAAGTCTCCCCTGAGCTGCCTCTTCTCCAGGCTAAACAACCCCAGTTTCCTCAGCTGTTCCTTATAGGACTTGTTCTCTAGACTCTTCACCAGCTTCACTGCCCTTCTTTGGACACACTTCAGAACCTCAGTGTGTTTCTTATATTGAAGTGCCCAAAACTGAACACAGTACTCGAGGTGTGGCCTCACCAGTGCATGGGGGCATAATCACTTCCCTAGTCCTGTTGGTCACACTATTTCTGATAGAAGCCAGGATGCTGTTGGCCGCCTTGTCCGCCTGGACACACTGCTGGCTCATGTTCAGCCGGCTGTTGACCAGCACCCACAGGTCCTTTTCTGCCAGGCAGCTTTCCAGCCACTCTTCCACAAGCCTGTAGTGTTGCATGGGGTTGTTGTGACCCAAATGCAGGACCTGGCACTTGGTCATGTTGAACCTCATACCACTGGCCTTGGCTGATTGATCCAGCCTGTCCAGATCCCTCTGAAGAGTCTTCCTACCTTCAAGCTTATCTGCACTCCTGCCCAACTTTGTATCACCTGCAAATTTACTGAGAGTGCCCTCAATCCCCTCATCCAGATCATTGATAAAGATACTAAACAGAGCAGGCCCCAGTACTGATCCCCTGGGATCCAAGGTCAGGAATAACTGGCAGTTAGTCTAGCAAAAATCTAACTTTTCACATTAACCAGTGAAGCATGGAGAACATATTTGTAGACTAGACAGGGCTGTAATAGATGCCTTCAAGTGCATCAGAGGGTAGTGGCTGGCTGTGTCAATACTAATGGCTGGATTTGAATACATTGCAGACCTTCTAACAGCAGCTTTATTTTCAGTAGTCTCTAAACGGTTCAAGAAACAATTCAGGACAGGGGGAGCAGCTCCAAGGACTCTAGCAGGCTGAGAAACAGGCATGAATACTTGGACTGGCCAGATCAGATCGCAGCAGTCAGGAGCCCAAGCAGGACAGATGGCTGGAATTTGTTCGGATTACATGAGGATGCATGGACAAAGCAGAGTGGGGAAGGTCAGACACGGTTTTGGATTTGTGTGGGTGGGAATGTACTGCAGGATGCATGTATGGAAGGGCTTGCAAACTCTGTGGCAAGCAGGATCTAAATTGAGCAACAGCATGGAGTAGGGCTGTGCACTGGAGCTGGTTGCACGGTCTCCATGTTTCTCCCATGGACATCTTGAAAGAGAGGCTTAATTGAATTGCGTACAAACAATAGCGCCTGAACAATGGCCCCCTGCCATTTTAATGGAGTGGTTTTACTTGAACTGTCTTTGCACTCTCAGTGTGGCACAAGCTTGGATACTTGGCAGTGCCAGGCTGCATCATAAAAGTTCTTGGAAGATGAAACCAGATTTTGTTAGAAGGAAGCAGAATATTTCAGACTTCTTTCTAGGGCAGGAACACAGGTCACGCTGAGACCATGGAATAAACATATTAGTGGCAGGCTCTGGGTGGTTTCTTGGGAGGAATGGGTTTCTGCAGTGAGATACACATTCCTTCTGTGCTGCAGAGACCATCATATACCGCCTTGAAATGAGGGGAAGAATGCAAACATGAGACCTGTTCTTCTAGGCTTTCTGCAAACTTAGGTAAACATCCAACATTGATTTAAAATTGGTTAATGTTTTCAAAGCTGGCTTTGGCATTATGAGTGTTAGAAAAAAGTTTCTGGGATTCGGGGGAGGAGACACAGGAGGAGTTTGTCCTTTAAGTGAAGACTCATATTCTAGAGCTTGCAACTACAGCTGCAGAACTTACCTGCTGCTTCAGGGGTTGTTGAATGTCTTTGGTAGGTATGTGAGGTTGCACACTCCTAATACCTTCAAGGTGAATAGTGGTGATAGTGTATGTAAATAGTCTTCATATGAGCAGTGAATTGATGGTGTGGAAAGCAGCAGCTTTACATGCTCAGGAATAGCATAGCTTTTTAGAAGTTAATAATAACTTTTGGTTAATGAACAGTTAACTTAGCAGCACCTTTTAAGTATGGCTTCATGGTTGTTCTGAGTTTTGACTTTAACCAGCATATGCATGTGCTGAAGTAGCTTTTGTGAAGTTTCTGCTCCTCTTGACCTTCTCAGACCACCAGTGCTTTTGTGAGCATGAAAACAGACCTCCTTGCTAGTCCTGTAAAGTTAAATCCTGGATTTATTTGCCACCACAGCTTTGTGGGAAGAAGAAGCAGAGGAGGGTGGCATTTGAAGTGGAAAAGAAAACTAGTCTGTCTTTGCTGGACATGCCTTCTGAAATGTGATACTGTCTTGTGGCCACTTGGAGTTTTTCCTGTAAAAAGGATCTTTTTCCCCATTTAAGAATTTGAGGGAAGTTTGTCTTCAAAAATGACTGATCTCAACATTTCTAGACTGCAAGTAAGGTTGCAGTAATTGTAAACCAGTCCTTGAGGGTAGTGGAATAGGATGCAAAAATCAAGGTATTATTTTGTTAAGGGGTGGAGTGGAGGAATGGAGAACACGATATGCCAAGCAGGTGGACAGCCAGTGTTTAAAATTAGATAACAGCCTGGTTCAGATTCCCCACCCATCTCTTATTTAAAAAAAAAAAAGTGCTGTGTTGCCAAATAATAAAACTGTATCCACATTTATATATATATGTAAGTCAAAGAGCAATATAAAGGTCTGATTCTTAGCTCAAGCTTAGTAGGTGGTAACATAGAGGGAAACACTGCAGTATGTCTTTTAATTTTATTGAAATAGAACCATTAAAAGTGAAAGGGAAGAAGGGGCTTTACTGTTGCATTTCCTCACAGAGGGAATGGTGTTTTTTTAGATGGTGGTTGAGCTGATTCAACATTTTAGCCTAACAATCTCTTTGGGCTCCTCAGAGAGAGCTCACGGTTCCCAAGAATGAGATTGTGTTCTTGGGAAAGTGACAGCAGCCACTAGATTTTGCTTACTAACAGGTTTTATTCAGGTCTGTTATGATGTGATTGTGATTTGCTGGAGTTTCCCAATGTTGGCCTTTGTCCAGGCCTGGCAGGTGTCTTATTGCTTAAATGTTCGTAAGTACCACTTTTCAAAGCACAGGAGAAAGCTGTTTGGGGAGTGCAGTTCCTGTGTTTTGCAGGTTAAGAATTAAGGCTCAAAACTTTCTGGATTTCCCCAAGTTTAGGTGTATAACGTGGACTGAAAACCAAATCTGGATCTCCTCTAACATCTATCCTTGTGTCCCTCCTTGCCCGTGGAGGACTAGCATGAAATTAGATGATTCTAGAGGCCCTGAACACAGCAAAAAGCTGTAGAAGGTATTTTGTATAGTGTGGTTGGAAGAAGAGTACACTGTGCTTCAGGAATCATGGAGCATGGAAACAGGCAGCTGGTCACTGCATGCAGAAGGTCTCAGTTGCAGGATTTCAAAATTAGAAGGCTTAGCTGGTCTTGGGTCGTTTAGGTGCTGTACAACAAAGCAACACTGGCGATGAGTGAGCGTTCAGATGTTGGATGTGCCTATTTTGCTTCATTTTGGCTGCTCTAGCAGTGATACCAAGACCTTGCTTCTGGGAAAAAAAAATAAATC